AGCAGGAGTGGGGTAGGCGGAGGTTTGCCCTGGTGCAGGTGTGCCGCATCGGAGGTATATAAAATGCAGCATGGGCTACTGATCCATAAATAACTTTAAAAAAAAAAAAGACTCATGATGCAACATTTAGTTAGAATAAAGTGGGACCTCCTTTGTGCTTTTATTAAATAGTTAGACCTGTAAATATACATTGTCCACAGACAGTTAAATAGAATAGAATTAGCTTATATTAGTCTCCGCTTGTGGAAGTTAGCATTATTCGTCTTCTGTTGTGCATTTTTGTTGTGCAGATTTAAAAAATAAAATTATTTACATTGTAATAAATAAGTTAAAATATTTGAAAATAATATTAAATAATAGCCATAACCCATAAACTGTGATAATACTCCCAATAAGGGGCTCTGTTTTCATGTAGACTTCTTGTATTTTGAAGGCCTATGAGAGAAATAGATTTCTAGGTCACTTGACAAATACCCACCCATCAGCACGCCATAAGTGAGTAGCATCACTTTAGACTAAATTTACAAAAGTAATATCACATCTCTCATTTAGATCTCTCTCAAATCCTTGCTGGGATCCAGACAACTTTGGCTTCTCTGGGAAAATGATCCCTGTCTTCCCTCCTCTATGAGCTCTATAAACACACGGAAATGATGTTGAGTTTCATTTTGGTCCCTAATAAAGTGAAAAATATAAATAAAGCAGAACATCTTTAGGACTGACCTGCTTCTCATATTTCTGTCACCTTTTTGCTTCTCATACCTGATTTCAAAAACCAAGATGGCAAATCAGTCAGCTAATTGGAGATAAAGTATCTGAAATTCAGGAGCGGGGCCACGCCTCCAAACACGCTCCTTCCGGTTCTCATCTGTATATGTTCCCCCAGTTCTACAAGCTGTTTGTTCTCGTTTACGTGCCCCACCGTCCCTCCCTCCCCGTTTTACTTCTTTAACTTCTTCACTTCTCTAGCCGGACAGGGCCCACCCAGTCCCCTTTGAGGCCTTCCCTAAACCGCAGCTCAATTCATGTCCAAGCCATTCACCTTTATCTACTAAAACGCTATCAAACCTCAAATGAGGACGTGGGCCTAGCAAGTGAAATGCTTTAAATTGGGACGTCACTGTGGTCACATCACACTTTTAAATGAACTGACACTATCACACTAACATCTGCTAAGAACGCTGCTGTTATTTTTGAGAAAACGTTTCATTTTGAATTTCACATTTCAAAGCTCACCCAGTTTGTTTCTTTCATGTCAGAAGCATTGCAAAATTTCTGTCTATAATTGTTCTGGTAATGTGTGTCTGCTGTAATGAATATAAGGGCATGTGTTTGACTCTGTGTTTTCATGTTTGAATGTGTGATTCAACAGTGAAGCACTTTGTAACTGTGTATTTTTAAAAAGTGCTATACAAATAATATTATTGCTATTGTTGTATGTGATGACTTGGGAGTGAGAATGGATTGGCTAGAGAGAGGTGCGCCTGGCGGCCTGGTAGCTAGTCAATAGTAACATGTTTAAGTGGACTAAATCAGCAACTCAATGAACCCCAATAAACACATTTGTGTGTCCTCCAAAGTCACACACAAATCATTTTAACATTTGTAAATCTTAGTTTACCATTTGGATCATATCACCCTGCCTACTGTGGTCTGTGTGGTTCCTTGTGCAAGATAGACTCCAAAGTCTCATTTACTTATCCATGTATGTTGAAATTAATATAGTCACTGCAGATAAGAAAAGATTATTGGTAAATCAGATGCTAATGGTTTTCCTTCCCTTTATATATACACTGTTCCACGGACAGATGCTCATTGGTCAAAGGTCAGAGCATGCACAGTTAATCCTTGTGAGCCAAAAGCTAAGGTTTCAGACGGTATTTTTTCTAATCTCATGATTAGTGGATGAATATCACACACACAAGCTCTACCACCTTCTGTTTGCAAGGGGGAGAAATTTTTCTCATGAGAAAGGTGTTCTTAAAGGGCAAGGAGCTAAAACAGGAGGGTTCCTTACTAGGAACTCAGAAATTCTTACTTCAAATGAAACTCACTATTAGTACAAGATTAATAATTAATAAAGCGCTGGATGGACCGAATCAAGGATGATATGAAGGCTGTGAATGTTACACCAGAAGACGACCTCGATAGGAAGAAGTGGAGGAAGGCATGCAAGATAGCGGACCCTGCGTCGGGTGATATAAACCGCTAGGAAGAAGAAGAAGAGTACAAGATTAATAATTGCTTATTTTAAAATCTGAATTATGCAAATCTCCATTACTACAGTGCAAGAATTAAAAAAGGGGGCTTGGTTAGATTTTGTGGAGCTGTGTGGGTGTATGTGTGTGTGGTGCTGCTCTCTCGAGGACCCTGCTGCCACTCCTTTTCTCCACCTGGGGTCACTCAACAAAAAGGCGAGATGAGGTCCACGTGCGAGGGTTGTTGCTGGGTGTCTGTCCTGCTCCGTTCACACAGAGTTTTGTTTTTGGAGCACTGTGGATTCCTTTTGTGGATACATGTGAATAGTGTGATCCTGTGGGCAACAGAAGTGCCACTTACTGAGTTTGAGCTGTTTGAGCAACAACACTTGCATTAAGGTGCTTTATGTTGTTGTAAGGTACAAAGAGCAGCCGACTAAGGGAAACTAATCCCCTCAGTAAATGTACCAGCTTTTCAGAACAAGACTAGCTTATGTTGACTCTCCTGTGTGTGCAAGTCAACTGAAGCATGAGAGGACAAGAGTGAAACCGGACTGGCTCTCTATCAGCTAATGTGATACTCATTCTTGTCACACTGTTAGCAGAGGGACTTCAGGGTATTTGTTCAGTTGCTACTGTGCTACGATATATGTATCATTTATATCTGCCCTGGCTCAAGCTAAAAAAAGATCATAATGTCACTTTAGATTAAGGTTGGTCGATTTGATTAAAGGGTGAATACTGCAGGATATCTCTCTCACTGAGGAATTGTTTCTAGTTGAAAACCTTTCATTAATAACAAGTATGATTAGCATTGAATCATACTTTATTAATCTTATCTGTTATTAACCTCTGTCTCTGTTCCACAGCATGTTTTTTTTCCTGTCTTCCTTCTCTCACTCCAGCTGGTTGTGGCAGATGGCCCCGCCCCTCCGAGAGCCTGGTTCTGTCAGAGGTTTCTTCCTGTTAAAAGGGAGTTTTTCCTTCCTACTGTTGCCAAAGTGCTTGCTCATAGGGGGTCATATGATTGTTGGGTTTCTCTCTGTATGTTTTATTGTAGGGTAATCTTACAATATAAAGCGTCTTAAGGCGACTGTTGTTGTGATTTCACGCTGTATAAATAAAATTGAATTGAATTAAATAAGACATAACAGCATCTGTTAGCAGAGTTCATAAATGTAGGATATATTTAACCTGTTGCAGCTGTGTGTTTGCAGGCTACAGACTGGTATTTTGTCAGTATTCAGTTCAAAGTATTCAACGTGCATGTTTTTACATAAGCATGTCTCCACCATGATTTCAGGGTAAATGCTGGTGCTTTCACTAAAGTTTTAAGGCTTAATTTTTGGCCTTGTCTTTTTAAATCCAGCACTATTGGAATTGACATTCAATATTATTACCAGCCTATTTGTGTAGTTTTATCTCTGAATAATGTTTGAGTGCTTGGCTGTGAGACTTTTTAGTCTTACGTATATTAGTTTAGAGCTGTGCTTTGTGG